TCAACGAATCCAACGAAATGCTAACTTTTTCATTATCGATCCAAGCATGTCAAAACTGGACACATGACGTACCCTAAAGCACCTACATACACCAACGCCAACGCCAACACCAACACCAACAGCAACAACGACAGCATCGAAGCGGTGGTAGTGGGTGGTAAAAGGAGACTACCGTCTTCACCCGAATAGAACGCCCGGTCATTATCGAAGGATTTGGTGCACTTTCCAGTCCAGATACAGCTATAATGACCGGGCATTCTATTCGGGTGAAGACCGTCCTAGCAGTTTAATCGTAACTTTAATGACGATTGCTGTTCTTCTTCCACAGTGATCTTTCAACTTCCCACTTTCTCTCATTTCACACGCACTGTTTTTTTTTGTTTGTTTTTTTCAACAAACAAAACAAAGAAAAGGTGAAAGCCTTGAAATATCATCGCGGAACTGACCGCCCTCAGGTAATTCAGCAATAATTCATTCGACTACTTATACTTCCCCATCAGGATGCAAACTTGGGTCTGTATTTCGACAGAATCAATGAATTAGTTAAAAAATAGCAAGAAAATTAACAAATATCAACTCGTCTATGACAAAAGGTGTCATTTCATGGGTCTGCCTTGGTATCGTGTACATACAGTTGTATTAAATGATCCTGGTCGTTTAATAGCTGTCCATATTATGCATACTGCTCTTGTGTCAGGGTGGGCAGGTTCAATGGCTTTATATGAACTTGCAGTTTCCATGGGTGCAGTACCATCTGAGCTAGGCCCGTTTCCATTTCGACATCACAGACCATTCCCTTTATAGACTTCACGAAGCTCAAAAAGTTTGATTCAAAAACAGGAGGAGGGGGGAAGAACAAGAAAAAAAATACTGTTTGATCCCGGCAGAAAATAGTACTCTCCCTTTTAAGTTTTAACGTGAACTCTTCTCGTGGATGGGTTTTAAACTTTTAGTTGTTTATTAAAAGGGAAAACAGAGAGGAGAGGAATCAAAGCAATTCCATCCGTTAAAATTGGAACGATACAGAGAAGATTAGCATGGACCCTGGGAAAGGATATTAAAATAAAAAAAATAAAAATAAAAAAAGCAATTCCATCCATCTAAAACCAATCTTTCACCAATGAGCCTAGCTCAGCTGGTACACCCATAACTGTTGAAATACAGAACCGAGAACGAGTCCAGATGCAATCAGCTGAAATGAACCACATCATTCTGAATTACCTGGGGCTTGTCAATTCAATGATCATATCTCAAAGACATTGCCCTCTTTTATATTATAAACCTGGGCTAGCAGACCCGCACTGGCCCGGCCGCCCGTTGGTTTGCTATGCTGCACAACATACTTTTTTTTCGAAAAAAATCGAATTATTTTCTTTTATGTTTTTGGATGGGATATGGCCCGGGACCCCGACCGGCCCAGTCGCCCGGCCGGTCTTCCCGAGCAGGTCCCGTGCCAGCATTATCGACCCGGGCGGCACGGCTGGTAGCCCAGTTATAAACAAGATTACAATACTTTTTTTTTTTTTTAAGCACTCTTATACGCATAACTCGTTCTGATTTTTGGTTGTTGATTAAGGGAAAAAATAGAAAACTGAGAATATTCCATCCGGGGCCAGCGGCCTAGCTCAGTTCACAGAGCACATGACTAGCACTCGATGACCTGTTGTGGCTTCGCTCGCAAAAACAAAATTCGACAGGTGATGCATTAATCGTGGAGGCAACCGACCAGTGCAAACTCTCTCTCTCTCTCTCTCTCTCTCTCTCTCTCTCTCTCTCTCTCTCTCTCTCTCTCTCTC